AGGATGAGGAGAAAGACAGCAAATCTGAGAAGCGGAAGGCCGGGTTCTTCTTCTTCGTGAACGAAGGCGCAACCGACCTCGCTATGGCTGCCAAGGTTCTCCTACACCCCCTCACCCATTGGGTGATTGATTCCGGGAGCTCTTGGCACATGACTCCTCGTGCGGACCTACTCGATGAGATTCAGCCCGCACCCATCTCTACAGTCACATCCGCGACGGGCGCCAAGGCCAAGGTCATGGGCATGGGATGCGCCAAGTTCATGGGAGCGGATGGAGAGCTCGTGGGGCTGAAGAACGTGCTGTGGGTGCCGGACTTGTGCGCGAACCTGATTTCTACCGGCCGGTTGGGAGATGCGGGTGTGAACACCGAGACGATTGGCTCGGAGCGCTATCGTGCCTACAACGACGAGCGCCTCATTTGGGACCTGCAGCGGAAGGGAGATGTCCACAAGCGCATGTGGCAGATCGGGGTCTTCCCTTGGCGGAAATCGGGCAAGGACGCAGCCCCGGCATCTATTCAGGAGAGCGTGACTGAGGAGGAGCAGCAAGGTGTGCAAGGAGAGGAGCTGATTGGAGGAAGCGCGGTAGTGAAGGTATCGGCTACCTCGGGCCAAGCGGATTGGGAGACTTGGCATCGGCGGCTCGCACACGTGGCTGTTTCTACATTGGAGGTGATGCACAAGGAGAAGTGCGTGCATGGCGTGCAACTGCAAGGAGATGGCGCTTCATTTGGCAACTGTGAGGCATGCATGCAAAACAAGTTTGCGCGGTTCCCGATTCGACGTGCGGAGGGATCAGCCAAGGCACCATTGGAGGTGGTGCACATGGACCTGGTGTGTCTTATGAGGACGGAGGGGACTGGGGGAGTGTTGTACTTCCTCACCATGGTGGACGAATGGAGCAGATTCACATGGGCACGTCCCTTGTCCAAGAAGAGCGATGCTGCAGTGGCAATCAAGGAGGATTGCTTGCCGATGGTGGAGCGGCAAGCGATGCGGCTGGTGAAGGTGCTGAGGAGTGACCGTGGTGGAGAGTTCCTTGGAGCGGAATTCACCAAGTTTCTCAAGAGGAACGGCATCCGACACCAGCTGACCTGCCCAGGAACACCGCAGCAGAACGGCATTGCTGAGCGTGCCAACCGGACCATTGGCGAGGCGGCTAAGACCTTTTCAGGGTCTGCTGGGATGCCCTAAAAGTTCTGGCCTGAAGCTGTTTGCCATGTCATTACGGTCAAGAATAGGGTCTTGTCGCATGTTTGCAACAAGCACTTGGTGCCGTACGAGCATTGGCTTGGAAAGAAGCCATCCATTGACATGCTAAGGTGTGGGGCTGCATGGGGCTTGTGATGGTGCCTAAGGAGCAGAGGCACAAGCTGGAAGTTGCTGCTGTGTGGGCTGTCCATCTTGGGATGGCTCCTGACTCGAAGGGGTGGCTGATGTGGGACCTTAAGAGCAAGAAGTCGCTGGTCAGCCGTAATGTCAAGTTTGTGAAAGACGTCATGTACAAATTCTGGCAGCAGCAGCAGCAGGTGCAGATTGGCTTGCGTCTGCAGGAGATTGAGCGGTCTGCAGTGGAGGAGGTTCAGCTGCACCTTGATGATCTCAACGGGTCAGAGCTGACCAGTGACCACAGTGGCGGTGGTGAGCAGCAAGTTTCTGGTCCTGCTACGGAAGACGGGTTGGAGGATGAGTCGGCACGTGTGGACTCACCATCTCAGCCCGAGCCTGCTGCAACTGCCAAGGTCACCAAGAGGAGTGTGCAGAAAGGAGCTTCACCACATGGGCAGCAAACTCCAACCCACAAGAAGAGAGTGGCAGCGCCACCTTCAAGGCTGAAGTATAGCCGTTTGGGAGGACCCAAGCAAGGTGCCATGGCGGTTCAGGCGGATGAGGGAGAGGATGAGGAGATGGCATTCTATTTCTTCACACCCTTGCCTGGAGAACCAGCCATAGCGGAGGAGGCACTGAGTGGACCCCAGAAGGAGGAGTGGAAGGCTGCCATGGATGCGGAGTTCAACAGTCTCATTGAGAATGGGACTTGGGAGCTTGTTGAGTTACCCGAGGGGCGACGGCCGATCAGCAGCAAGTGGGTCTTCAAGACGAAGAGTGGAGCTGATGGTGCGTTGGAGCGGTTCAAGAGCCGCTTGGTCGCCAAGGGGTTTCAGCAGAAAGAGAAGGTTGAATTCAAGGAGATCTTCGCTCCCGTTGTTAAGCCAGTAACATTGAGGACTATGCTGGCTGGCGCCGCTGTGAAAGGATGGCACGTGAAGCAGATGGATATCACCACTGCATTCCTCAATGGAATACTGCTGGAGGATATCTACATGGCGCAGCCCGACGGCTATGAGGATGGGACCAGCCGGGTGTGCAAGCTCAAGAAGGCTATCTATGGCCTTAAGCAAGCGCCTAGGTGCTGGTACGAGAAGCTGGAGGAGGTGCTGCTGAGTGGAGGCTTCAAGACGTCCCAAGCGGATCACAGCTTGTTTCTGCTTGGAGAGGGGGAGCAGTTGCTCTTGTTTCTGGTTTATGTCGACGACATACTGCTGTTCTCACCTTCCATGGAGCAGATTGAGAGGGCACAGAAGCTGCTGGTGGACAACTTCAAGTGTAAGATGTTGGGGGATGTCCACTACCACTTGGGGCTGCAGATTGAGAGGGATGTTGAGAGGAGGTGGCTGAAGATGCATCAGTCACATTACATCTCTGGTGTCATGGAGCGCTATGGTGTGACTGGGGGTCGCACTGTGATGACACCGTTCCCTGCGGGCTTCAAACTGAAGAAGGCAGCTGAGGAGGATGATGTACTCGACGCTGAGCAGCACAATGAGTGCCAGTCACTCATTGGGAGTGTGATGTATGCAGCTGTGCATACGCGACCTGATGCTTCATTCGGAGTGGGGCAGCTAGCCAGAGTTGTGCAGCGGCCCACCGAGGGCCAGTTCGAGGTGGCAAAGTGCTTGGTGCGCTATCTCGGATCAACGGCATCTGCTGGTGTCCAGTTTCAGCTGGCGGTCAGCTGAAACAGACTGGAGCAAATGGGATCACGCTTGGAACCTTGAAGCTGTCGTGCTTCACCGACGCTACATGGGCCTCAGAGGAGGAGGATCAGTCATCAGTTGGCGGCTTTGTGTGCATGGTCGGAGGTGGACCAGTGAGCTGGAGGTCCAAGAAGCAGAGTGAGATTGCTCAGTCTTCCGGAGAGGCAGAGTACATGGCGATGTACCATGCTACCAAGGAGATTGTGATCCAGAGGAAGCTGCTGGAGGACATGGGAGCTGAACAACACGGACCTACACCATTTTTCTCTGACAGCGAGGCTGTTTGTTGAGCTTCACCATATGAAGGCTAGCAAGCAGGCGGCAGATTTTCTCACCAAGAGACTTCCCGAGAGCGCACATTGGAAGTGTGCTAAGATGTGTGGCATGACATTGTACTAGTGTGGGCAGCAGTTGTCAAAACATTGTATTGTGTAAGTTGTAGTGGGGTAGCCAATATGGGGTACAACCCAGTTTAGGGTTAGTACTTGTACCAAACCCTGTCATAGTTCATTCATTCCTGCTGTTCATTCTGACATGGTTTCAGAGCAGGTCCTGTCCCAGGACCGTTCTCGTTAGGGCCCACCGATCGTATTCTGCTCGTCGCGCTGCCCCACCACACGCGCATGCCCTGCCCTGCCCTGCGTTGCGCCGCCCCGCGCACGCCCTGCCCTGCCTTGCGTTGCGTCACACTGCCCGCGCACGCCCTGCTCTACCCTGCGCTGTGCCCCCACCCGCGCAAGCTCTGCCCTGCGTCGCGCGCCCCGCGCAAGCCCTGCCCTCCCCTGCGTCGCGCGCCCCGCGCACGACCTGCCCTGCCCTGCGTCGCGCTGCCCCGCGCACGATCTGCCCTGCGACGCGCGCCCCGCGCACGCTCTGCCCTGCGACGCGCGCCCCGCGAACGCCCTGCCCCTGCTGCCCGTCGCGTCGTGCGCCCCTGCTGCCTGTCGCGTCGCGCGCCCCTGCTGCCCGGTGCGTCGCGTGCCCCTGCTGCCCGTCGCGCCGCGCGCCCCTGCTGCCCGTCGCGTCGCGTCGCCCGTGCGGGCTGCCCCAGCCCGCCGCATCGCCCGTACGCCTCTGGCCCGTCGCGTCGCCCGTCTGCCCTGCCTCTGCCCGTCGCGTCGCCCGTACGGGCTGCCCGGCCCGTCGCGTCGCCCGTGCGGGCTGCCCTGCCCGTCGCGTTGCCCGTGCGGGCTTCCCTGCCCGTCGCGTCGTCCGTGCGGGCTGCCCCAGCCCATCGCGTCGCCCGTACGCCTTGCCCTGTCCTGTCCTAAACCCGCACGCGCCCTGCCCTGTCCGCGCGCCGCGCGTCCGCCCTGCCCTGCCCGTCATGCGGCCCGCGCGCGCCCTGCCTTGCCCGCGCGCCGCATCTACGCCCTACCCTGCCAGTCGCGCGGCCCGTGCACGCCTTGCCCTGCCCGCGCGCCGCGTGTACGCCCTGCCCTACCTGTGCACCGACCTCCTTCCAGCGCGCCGCCCTACTCTAGCCGTGCGCCACCCTTCCCTGACCGTGCACCGGCCCACCCTACCCTACGCGCTAACCCTAGTGCCTAATCGCCGCGTCTACGCCCTGCCCGCTATGACTTGTCTTCGTGGTAGCAGTGGGAGTGGTGGCGGCGGCCGTAGTAGCAGTCGCGGTGGAGCTATTCAGTGGGGAGTTTCTGGAGGTGGCCAGATGCAGCAGTAGCGGCGTCCGCGCGAGACCCTTACGTCTCAGCAGCTTCGTGAGTGGTTAGCTCAGCGTGACCCTGGGTGTACTGCTCGCTGCCCGTACGTCATTCGCACAGGTGATCGGGCTGGTCAGACCTGCACAACACATGGCCATACAAAGTCCCGCTGCTTCGCCTATCTGAGCGACGCCTGGCGCGCAGAGTTTGGCGTCGCGGCTGAGCACCGCCATTGGTTAGAGCTGCGTCGGCGCGGTGTGGATATATTTGCTCTAGACTATGACGCTATCCTTACTGCCATGTACGCTTCGCCTGCTGGTACTGAGGGTGACAACTACCTGTGTGTGCCGCGCGACCCAAGTATAGCGGCTGCTGCTCTAGGTGCTAGTGAGTCTGCTCTCTCTGGTATAGAGGCTGCTGCTCTGAGTGCTGGTGAATCTGCTCTCTCTGGTACTGCGCCTGCTGAGGCCTTGCACACCTTCACACTTGACTCAGGTGCTTCCCGCTGCTTCTTTCGCGACGGTACAACGGTCACACCACTCCCTGCACCTGTTGCAGTCTCTTTGGCTGACCCCTCCGGGGGCCCAGTTCTTGCACGTTCCTCCACTGTTCTCCCGTGTCCAGCGGTTCCGTCTGGCTCACTGACAGGTCTTCACCTCCCCTCGTTCTCTACGAACTTGGTGAGTACCGCCGTCCTTCAGGATGCTGGGGTTGATACCTTTACCTCTGGAGTGTGTGGCGATCTGCACGTGTGCACGGACGGGCCGTCACCTGGCCACGTTCACCCATCGGCCTGGGTCGAACCTGTACACACTGACTACTGAGCCTCCTCAGGTCGCTGCGTCTGGTCAGGTGTCTGCGTCAGGTCAGCTGTCCGCCCCTTGTTCGAGTCGCCTCCTTTCGCACCAGACTCTCCTCTGGCACCACCGCCTTGGTCACCCCTCCCTACCACGCCTCCGTGGCATGCACTCCCGCCTCCTTGTCTCTGGCCTTCCCAGGTCTCTGCCCCCCCTCCCGCGCTCGCCTGCTCTGCCCTGCCTTCCTTGCGTCGAGGGGCGGCAGCGCGCCGCACCTCACTCCTCCTCGTTTCCCCCGACGACTGCTCCCCTGCAGACTCTCCACATGGACGTGTGGGGCCCAGCCCGCGTTCGTGGACAGGGCCGCGAGCGGTACTTTCTGCTGGTTGTTGACGACTACTCGCGTTACACCACGATCTTCCCCTTGCGCAGCAAGGGGGAGGTCCCTGCTGTCCTGATCCCTTGGATCCGCGCTGTTCGTCTCCAGCTCCGCGAGCGGTTCCGCACGGACTTTCCTGTCCTGCGTCTGCACTCTGACTGAGGTGGTGAGTTCTCCTCCGACCTCTTGCGGGACTTTTGTCAGGGGGAGGGCATCCTCCAGTCGTTCACACTTCCGGCCTCCCCGCAGCAGAATGGGATTGCTGAGCGCCGCATTGGCTTAGTCATGGAGGTCGCTCATACCTCCATGATCCATGCGGCTGCTCCCCATTTTCTGTGGCCGTTTGCGGTCCGGTACGCTGTGCATCAGCTCAACCTCTGGCCCCGTGTCTCCTTGCCGGAGACCTCGCCCACCCTGCGTTGGACGGGGGAGGTTGGCGATGCGTCGCGGTTCCGGGTCTGGGGCTCTCGTGCCTTTGTCCGCGATACCACTGCGGACAAGCTCTCCGCTCGCGCCGTTCCCTGCGTCTTCCTTGGCTTTCCCACTGACGCGCCTGGCTGGCAGTTTTACCACCCCACCTCGCGCCGTGTCTTCGCGTCCCAGGACGTCACCTTTGACGAGTCGGTTCCCTTCTACCGTCTCTTCCCCTACCGCACTGCCCCTCTTCCCCCCCCGCCGCTCTTCCTCACTCCAGGTTCCCCTCCGGTAGACCCCCACCCCCCTCAGGGTCCTGCTCCTTCAGGTGTGTCTCAGGTAGACCCACTTCCCTTGGCTGAGCCTGTCGAGGTCACTGGTGACTCTGGTGCTGCTGGGGGTGGTGCTACTCGGGGTGCTGCGTCTGGGGGTGCTGAGCCTGCGGGTGCGGAGCCTGGGAAGCGTATAGAGCCTGGGGGTGCTGAGCTTGCGTGTGTGGAGCCTGGGGGTGCTGAGCCTGTGGGTGCGGAGCCTGGGGGTGCTGAGTCTGGGGGTGCTGAGACGTGCTCTGGAGGTCCTGGAGCTGCTAGTCCTGGAGGTGCTGGAGGTCTTGCCGTTGGAGGCGCTGGTGCTGGAGGCACTGGAGCTGGAGGCGCTGGAGTTGGCGACTCTGGAGCTGGAGCAGCTAGTCCTGGAGGTGCTCGTACTGGAGGTACTGGAGCTGCCGGGGCTGGTGGTTCTGCTGGTACTGGAGCTGCCGGAGCTGGTGGTGTTGCGGACTCGGGAGCTGGTGGCGCTGGCACTGGAGGCGCTGGAGTTTGAGGTGCATGAGCTGGAGACACTGGAGCTGGAGGCACTGGAGCTGGAGGCGCTGGAGCTGGAGGTGCTGGAGCTGGAGGCACTGCCGCTGGAGGCGCTGGCGCTGGAGACACTGGCGCTGGAGGCCCTGGAGCTGGAGGCACTGGAGCTGGAGGCGCTGGCGCTGGAGGCACTGGAGCTGGAGGCGCTGGAGCTGGAGGCACTGAAGTTGGAGGCGCTGGCGCTGGTGGCGCTGGAGGTGCTGGAGGCGTTGGAGGCGCCGGAGGCGCTGGAGGCGCTGGAGGCGCTGGAGGCGCTTGAGGCGCTGGAGGTGCTGGAGCTGGAGGTACTGTGCAGCAGCGACCGTTCTTCTTGCCGCCGCCGCAGCTGTCCGAGCTACCCCCTGAGTCGGCGCTCCGTCAGGTTCTTAGTTTTCCTTCGTCCACTGTCCTTCCTCCGGACTCCCCGCTGCCTTCCCAGTCTCGTTACACTGAGCAGTCAGTCTCCCTTACAGAGCGTCGTGAGCCTGCGTCTCGTCCTGTCTGCCCTGTCTACACTGTTCGCGCTGCTCGTCGTGTCCCGCGTCCGCGTCCTCCTCCTGTGCCAGGTACTCACACTATGGCACTTCGTCCTTCCACTGCTCCACAGCGTGTCCCTCTGCCGTCTCCTCCTGCGTCCTCTCTTCCTGAGCTTCCTGACCCTGAGTTTGACTGTGTTCGTACTGCCAGCCCTACTGTCACGCGTCTCCTAGCTACTGTTGTCACTGACCCGTCGTTTGAGTCCACTGCTGCGTCTGCCTTAGTTGCTGAGCTTGTGGACTTTGCTGCTACGTGTCGTCTAGACTACGCTGCCAGTCTTGTCGCTGAGTCTGAGTCTGTCTGTCCTCCGTTCGTCGGGGGTGAGTGTGCTCTTGGCACGGATGTCCTTGACAACAGGCAGGAGGACTTTGAGTCTCTTGCGGCTGCTGTACCTCATCTCGTGGCCATGCTGCTTGCACCTGAGGGAGACCCGGATGCACTGGACATCCCGACCTTGTACTGCGTCGATCTGCTAGAACGGTTTTTGTAGCGATTCGATACATGCAGTGCAGTGCAGAGCAGACATGCGGTGCAGTGAAGTGACACCGGAAATCAAAATGTACCTAACACCAGATTGGGTGCACCTGGAACTTTGAATCACTCCTCTCCCAGAAAAGGCACACGTGGGATGCTCCGAGAAAAGTACACGTGGGAACTCCTGCACGGCCGATTTTCACGAATCCAGATTGAGCTGTTTGAAGAACCTAGGCCGTGCACCTGAAAGGGGCCGCAACGGAATTTGCAGCGCACGTCCACCTGTAGGCAAATCACTCTACTCTAAATGATCCAATCCGCGAATGTGTATGAAAGTTTGAGAGAATCATATTGAGCCATCTTCATGTTACCCTAACCCTAAACTTGGGGCTCAGTTTTGTGACACAAGCCCGCAGTGCTTGCCAAGCACACCTTCATCTTCTATCGCTTCGAGTGCTGGGTTTTGTTGCCGATTAATATTTGTTGTTTAGTGTCCGCTCATAATTTCCCGGGCGAAACTTTGCGCAGAACATAGAACTGCAGCTGACCGTCATAGCTTGAAGCGACATGGAGCGCGCAGCCCTTGGTGTGCTGTTCCTACCGACGTGTCTTGCAGTCTCACGAGTTCAGGGTACACTAAACGTTCATCTTCGCGCCGCTACACAGATATTGCACATTTAAAGTGTGGACGAGAGGTGGAGAGGTTGGGAGGACCATCTGGCTCCTGGTGAAAAGTGGCCAAGGGGGCGTACATGTTACTCCATACACTAACGTGCTGACTCACCAGAGGCCGCAGGCCCACCAAGTTCCTAGAGATCGAGGGGACGTGGAGGCCGGTCATAGAACCTGAGGGAGCGGTCAGGCACGGGAGCGTAGTAGAGTGTTGAGCAATGACTGGTCCCGAAGTGGGATCAGCCAGTGCTATAGAGACCGGTGCAGGAAGTGGAGTAAGCGCCGAAGGGGCACCTGGACTAGAATCTACACAAGCACCTACACCAGCCACAGGAAGAGTCAATACTAGCACCTAAGCTATGACCAATTGTGCAAACAGATCCAGGAGCACTATTGTCAACATCAGCATGCATAGCATACACAGATCCTAAGAGGTCGAGCAACTGAGGTGCGGACATGTTCCACAAAGCGGGACCGTGCGAGCGAACAAGAGGGAGCCAATTAGATGCAGGGTTGTCTGCGCTGTACACTGCATGAAGACGGTCACTGAGGTGAGCCACTGACCTGGTGGGTGACGGCGGCTGCAGCAGGAACCACTACGAGTACCGGTCTGAACGAAGTATGGGCAGGGCGGGTGGGCATCGCCACGTGACAGTGGACGCGGAACTAGGCGCTGCTGCGGTACAAGCTGATGCTGCTATGGCTGCTGCGAGCGCGGGGGCTGCGTCTGTTTTTCCAACCTGGGAAAACAACAACCAGGTTCAGGTTCTAAAAACAGAACCTGTTTTGTCTTTGCCCAACCAGCAAAATGCTGGTTCCGCTGGTTTCCCCTGGCCCTGTAGCATGCAGATACAGACAAACAACATCCAACCTTCACCTAAATTGTACCCCTATAGTGCCTGCCCTGCTACACTATAGTCAACCAAGCAAAACAGTACAATTTCGAGTTGGATAGAACTGGATCTGCGCAATCAATTCAACCGAACCGCAAAGCTTCCATCTTGGGTTCCTTTGCGATCTCGTCCTTTCTGCTTGCACTATTCATAGCGCGTACAATGTTGTGCCGAAGCGCACATTGCGAGAGTACCTGCAAATGCATCAAGCGAAAATTGCGAAAGCAAACAAACACACGAACATTCCATTCACACCCAAATGCATTCGCACACACATACTCGTACAAACAGACGGCAGAATGTCGTGCAATGTGAATTTGCACCCAACACATTCCCCCTCAGCCTGCTGGCTGCATCCCCATCAGCTCATTCCACTCATCCGCAACACAACACCAATGAGGCTCATCCGCAAGCCTCTTGGTGAGGAAGTCTGCTGGCTGCTGGTGAGTCTTGATGAAGTTCGGATTCACTGTCCCCCTCTTCACCTCCTTACGCAGCCAGTGCCACTTGATACGCATATGCTTGTTCAGCCCATGAAGCACAGCGTTCCTGGCCATCCCCAGAGCGCCCTTACAATCACAAAACAGCGGCGTAGCAACATTCTGCTCCTGGCCAATCTCCTCTAACAGCCTCCTCAGCCAAATCACTTCCTTCACCCCATGGAACATCGCCATGTACTCTGATTCTACGGAAGAGAGTGCTGTCTCCGTCTGCTTCTTGGACCTCCAACTAACAGGTCCTCCCCCAACTACGCAGATATATCCTCCCACAGATGAGGAATTTTCGTTCTCAGAAGCCCAAGTAGCATCAGTAAAGCAAGTTAGAAAGAGCTTGCCTTCTCCAAGCCTCTCCCCCTTCTCTTTCAGCACCTCCACCCCTTTCTGCTTCACCTGTGCAGATGCGGAGTATTGAACTCCAATGGTTGGGTGAGAGTTTAGGTACTTCACCACACGCTCAGCTGCATCCACCTGCTCCTCTGATAGATTCTGCACCACCCTAGCCAGCTGCCCAACCGAGAAAGAGATGTCGGGCCTTGTGTGAACCGCTGCCTACAAGAGGCTGCCCACCAAGGACTGAAATTGCTGCTGCTTCTCGGCTTCAACCCCTTCATCCTCTGCAGCCTTCATAAGCTTGAATTCTGCTGGCAGGGGAGTTGCAACCTTGCGCTCATTCTCAATCCCATACTTCTCCCCCAGCTCCTTGATGAATTTCTCCTGGTGCAGCTTCAACCACCTGTGATCAGGATCCCTCTCCACGTGCATCCCGAGGTAGTACTTTACCTCCCCAAGGTTCTTGCACTTGAAGTTCTCCATCAGCTGCTGCTGCACTTTCTGGATCTCCTTCATGCTGCTGCTGAAGAGAAGAATGTCGTCCACATAGACCAGAAACAGCACCAGCTCCTCCCCCTCGCCCTTGAGAAAGAGGCTCTCATCACAGCTGCTGGTCCTGAATCCCATCTCTAAAACAGCAGCCAACTTCTGGTACCAGCAGCGTGGCGCCTGCTTCAAGCCGTAGATAGACTTTTTCAGCTTGCACACCCTGCCTGTACCGTCCGCATACCCAGGCGGCTGCGTCATGAACACCTCCTCCTCTAAAATCCCGTTGAGGAATGCCGTTGATATATCCATCTGAATGATGAATTTCCCACTAACGGCGTGGACTGACGGGCATGGACTAACGGGCGCAGGGCGTGGACTGACGGGCGCAGGGCGCAGAGCACGACAGACAGACAGGCGCAGGGCGGACGGACGGGCAGACGGACAGGCGGGACGGACGGGCAGACGGGCAGGGCGGACGGACGGGACGGACGGACGGATGGGATGGACGAGGCAGGGCGCAGGGCGCAAGGCGCGGACGGGCAGGGCGTAACGGGACAGGCGGGGCCGACTGGCGCGAATGGGCAGGGCGCTACGGGCGGGTACGAGCAAAGCACTACAGGTGGGTATGGGCACGGCGCGAAGGGCGCGCCAGGCAGAGCGCTACGGGCGGGATAGGCGGGGCGCAACGGTCGCAACGGGCAGAGCACAATGGGTGCAACGGGCAGAGCGCAATGGGTGCAATGGGCATAGCGCAATGGGTGCATGGGGCACGGTGCATCGGGGGAGACAGGTCAATCGGGGGAGACGAGCGCGTCGGGCGCTACGGGTGCTACGAGCGAACCTAATCTAGCTGATACCATTTCAAGATAGGAAAGGAAATGGTTGATTAGAATGGATTTGGGGCAGTACCTTACCCCGTATAACACTGATGAATCAGGGCAAAAGATGCTATTCTACTTAACAGCCCTGATGTATCAGTATGGCCTAGAATGAATATGAATATGTGCCAGATAATTAGAAAAACGCCCGTAAAATTACAGCGATCGCCGCAACGAACGCCTGGCGGATGAGGGAAATATCTCCCCCCATTGGCGTCGACCTGTTGTTGCGCAGTGGTGAAGTCAACAAAACCGTCAAAATACAGCAGGAACAAGTGGCGCCACCCGCTGACGACAGAGCGGAAAAATTGCCTGAGGGTGGGGCGGGTCCTTTGTGTCAGTGCCAGCTCGCCCAGAAGGCGCTTTCGTCTGACGCACCTGCATCCAGCGCGCCAGTCTTAACAGCTGAACACGTGTTGGCGCTTTTGGCATTGTTACAACACCAGTCTCGCCTATGGTTACGGCTCTTGCGACTATAATTTATGTATCAACAAAAGTGGCAATGCAAAAAACGATATTGCGCCTCAAGCTCGCATGCCGAAGGTTCCTCTCTCCAAAAGGGAGCATGCAACCACCGAAGCGCAGGACAATGACAACGACCGCTGGGACTCCGACGTCAAGGTCACATGCAAACAACAAACTTTTTGCACCCACCGAGCATCTTCCCCCACTCCCATCCACCACCAACCCCGCCATCCCGGCCTCTTTGTTCCACCACGCGGTCGTGCGCATAGAAGATGGTGTCGCGCTCGTTTGTGATTTTGTTGCTGAGCAGGTCCAAGAGGATCCATCAATTGTACTCGTAACCGATGCCGAGGTGAATGCCCCTGCGCGCGCGACTTGCGAACTGTCGATGATTGAGGTAGGGGGGCGATACTGCACCATACATCCCCACATGCGGAGCATGGAGGTGTCGCCTTTCTTGGCTGTCCACTTGACATGTGGCAACAGACTCCTGGTGTTGGTGGTAGTGGAGAGAAGGTTGTGCACCCGTACGGCGTGGTGCATAGCGTACGGCCAGTATGTTGCGGAAAGCTTCGACTAAATCAGTAGCAAACACACCTTCGTCATGAGGGTGCGGTTGGTGCATTTGGAGACGCCCTGTTGTGGATGCACGTAGAAAAGTGACACATGGTGCGATATCGTAATCATGCAGCTCCTCGCTACGAAACTTTATTGCGCCGTCGATTTGCAGATCTGCAGTTTCTTCTCGGATTGCCGTTGCGTGTGTGCCAGCCAGAGGCGGAAGACCTC